CTGTACATTTTAATTGGAAAAACAGTATGGGAGAATATCTTTTAAGAGAATTGCACTTTTGAAAGATACGAGATCTTTAAAATAAAACAGTATTAATATTGAGGTAGTCCATCAAGTTTAGTAGGAGTCACACAGAGAAGTTTTTATTAGTATAGTATCTGCAGCTTAAGTAGTATTACCATACAATATATATACAATGCTGGTCTTGACTGAATAGATCGACTTTCAGTGTCAAGATTTGGTGGTTGATATGCCTTGGGCATACAACTATATATTTTAACACGCTATGGTTACAAATGTACTATTGCTGATATGCTAACAAAATACTAGTTACCCTCGAAGAGCAACAGTGGGATATTTATTTTGAACAAAATCTTTCGGAATCATAATTCTCCTTGGTACAACACACCTTACTCTATCAAGAACAGGATAACATATTTTGCCACGTCTTACAGCAAAAACCACACAGTGATTAGTAGATGATTTGGCAGATTTAAGAACTCTTTTTGATTTTGATGAACGAGACTTTGCGAGAGCTGCTTTATTTGTTATTGCCTTTGGTGACCTAGTCTTGCGTTTCTTTTTAGCAGATGCATGTGGTGCCACTAGTGTCTTCCTGGTGGAGGAAGATCTTTGTGCGAAATGGGTTGCGCTAGAACTTGAATGGACAGAATCAGATCTTCTTGATGGGACAGATTTGGTAGATACAGCAGGTGTTAATAAGGTCATGTCAGATACTAAGTCTTGAGTGTGCAAAGATGCATCTGGTTTTAATAAAGGCGTGCCAGTTATGATTGTGTCAGGAATTTCTGATTTAACCAAAGGAGAACATTGAATTGATGCAGTTGGACTTGACAGAGACACACTAGACACTATACCTGGAGATCCAGATGCAGGAGATGGAGTGTTGATTGATGCAGCAGGTGCTAAGGGCATGTCAGACATCTGAGCAGTTGTCACTGGTTTTACTAGAGGAGAGGACTGTAAAGATGAGGTTGGTTTTGACACAGATATGGAAGCTGGTGTGTTGACTAATGCAGCAGGTGCTAAGGGTATGGCAGACACCTTAGCAGTGGACATTGGTCTAACTAGGTAAGACTGTATAGATGAGGATAGTCTTGACACGGGCATTCCAGATAATGACATAATGCCTGGAGATCCAGATACAGAATTTGGTGTGAGGATTGATGCAGCAGGTGCTAAGGGCATGTCAGACACCTTATCAGTGGACACTGGTCTAACTAGATAAGACTGTATAGATGAGGTTGGTCTTGACACAGACATGCCAGATACTGACATTATGGCTGGAGATGATCCAGATATGGAAGCTGGTGTATTGACTGATGCAGCAGGTGGTAAGGGCATGTCAGACATCTGAACAGTTGTCACTGGTTTAACTAGATTAGGCTGTATAGGTGAGGTTGGTCTTGACACGGCCATGCAAGACATGACTGGAGGGTTGTAAGTTGCATCATGTGACACGGGCATGCTGGGCATCTGAACAGTAGTAGCTGGTTTAAGTAGAGACATCAAGGTTACAGATGACGATACTAAACTGAGATTCTTTTGAGAAAAACCTATAGTCCTGGATGAATCAATTGTCACCGGTTTGACTAGAGGGGAGGACTGTATAGATGAGGATGGTCTTGACACAGGCATTCCAGATAATGACATAATGCCTGGAGATCCAGATACAGAATTTGGTGCGAGGATTGATGCAGCAGGTGCTAAGGGCATGTCAGACACCTTATCAGTGGACACTGATCTAACTAGATAAGACTGTATAGATGAGGTTGGTCTTAACACAGACATGCCAGATACTGACATTATGGCTGAAGATGATCCAGATATGGAAGCTGGTGTGTTGACTGCTGCAGCAGGGAGTAGGGGCATGTCAGACATCTGAACAGTTGTCACCGGTTTGACTAGAGATGAGGACAGTATAGTTGAGGTTGGTGTTGACACAGACATGCCAGGAGGGTTGTAAGTTGCAGCATGTGACAAAGGCATGCTGGGCATCTGAACAGTAGTAGCTGGTTTAAGTAGAGACATCAAGGTTACAGATGACGATACTGAACTGAGATTCTGTTGAGAGAAACCTATAGTCCTGGATGAATCATTTGTTGCAGCCTGTATTACAGAGCCTTTAGATGAGATTGATTTAGATTGATTATGCATAATCAACTTCTGCAAATTATTCATAGCTTGGAAAGAATTGGCAAATGGCATATAAAAACTCTGTTCAATGTTCTGGCATGACTGGACAGGTTGACTTCCTGTGTCAGATCTCTGTACTGAAGTAGGGTTATTGCTGTTGTTTTGATTTAACATATATTGTGGTCTATATGCATTGGTCTGTGGAATAATAGCTGGTCTATTGCAATTGTTAGTAGAAACATCAACAAATAATGGTTGAAGGTTCTGAAAGTTTGGATTCAGGGTTGAGCAAGCATGATGAATACCAACATTACTTGGATAGGGTGGTGGTTTTCCTCTAATATTTAGCCTGGCATTGTTATTATTTGGGATACTTTTTTGAAATTGCTGTTTTCCATTAAGTGGCTGGGCATCAAATAGAAATGAATGTTGCATTGGGCGACTGTTAACGTATGGAACATTTTCTTGGAATTGTTGTCCTCTATGGTGTTCAGGGGTGTAATTTGGAAAATTAGGGTATGCACCCATGTAATGGTTACTGTTACTAACACAGTCTTGGGGCAGCCATACTGCATTATTTCTCTGAGCATCATTAGCATAGTAGGCTTGAGGAACAGGGTGACGGTTGCTATTAATGACTCTTTCTTGTAGTTGTCTAGCTGTAATATTTTGCTGGTTGTCATTGGCAAAATAACTTTGATGATCTGTAGAATGATTACCAATACCATTATTAACAGCACTACATTCCTGGGAAGTTTCTCTTGAATTAAAACAACTTTGCTGGTCAACATTCTGAGTAATACCAATACTAGTGTTATCTTGGGCTGGTCTCACTTCTTGCAGGTTAGCCTCAGATAGATTCCAACTTGGATTCTGCACAGATAAAAATCAATACAATAGTCATCTTCAGTCACACTGTGGGCTAGTCACTTATAACTGTAATGTGAAAGAAAGGATGCATTTAAGGAACAGACTGAAACGGCTGTTGTCATATTTATACCACTTTCTGTCATTAGACCTACTGTTGTAGTATTTTCTTTATTAGATGCACATCTCCAATAAAACAAAACACATTGCCTTGCATTTATTGTATACCAGATTAAAAAAATATTATTTATTTTGATCATAAACACACCTGACATTTATGTGAGTACTTGCGCTTCTAATAAAGTAAATGTGGAAATGCCAAATATATATACATCGTACTTTCCCCGAGTACAAGCCCAGAAGCCTGAACATGTAAAATCAGGAAAATTAGAGGGTGGGCTTAAACTCAAGGACCACTTCAGAAAAGATAATTTTGTTTGAGGGGGGGAGGGTTAAAATTGTAACCATCTTCCCAACCTGAGAAAAATTTTATTCACAGCATCAGTCTCGGGAAAAATATTACACCTTTTTGATTTCCACAATGAAGAAACAAACATGTTCATAAAAATACACACATTTTATTACAATACGGCCTGAATTTACGGTGCAAAAACGGGTAGGGTCTGTGGGAAAACAATCGAAGGCAAGATCTTTATATCATTATTTTCGATCTATCTTTGTGGAATGTTTTCGATCGTACGCAAACTCTCGACACAAAGCAATTCCCACCATGATGTTTTTCATAATGATTTGAACTGAACAACGTCTTTTTTTAACCGATCAAAATACTGTGACGCACAGATGAAGTTTTCCGATTATTGATGAAGCAATTTTTTCAAAGCAATGCAGAAGTGAATTATCGCAATGTTAAAATGCTTTCAACACAAAATGGTGAATTTTCCCCCCTAAAGCTGTTGATTCGCAATTTCGCAGGTAAACTGAGGGTGGAAGAAGTATTTAAACTTTTCACTATCGCTCGCAAGTTATGCTGAAGAATAGTTTGCTCGTTCACACCCCATTCATGAAAGTCTCAGTGGACCCGATTATTCAGAAAATTATGAATGATGTTCAATGACCAGGTTTCAAAACTTGACGATCACATTTTTGGCGTTTCTAAAACTACCACAAAAAAGAAATACAGATTACTTCAGTATTGCAACAGTTTATCCTGAGTAAATTACAGAATAGAAAAGGTGCGAACCATGTTTTGTATGGTCGACCACCATGCACTCTGAAATTAATGCGGGTTTTCTCGTAAAAGCAGCAACCAAACTACCGTACCAATCACGATTATTATCCAATGAAAACACTTTTTACATGCATATTTTAATAAATGTCATTGACACTCGGTAAAACACCCTGGGCCTATACTCGGGGATGCCCTCAACTCAACTCGACTTAAATGTCTAAAAACAGACGGGAGGACTTATACTCGGGAGGGGCTTATGCTCAGGGAAGATCGGTACATTATAAATGGAAATCGTAAAGCACACATACTGAAAAATGAAATCATATTTTCATTATCACTGATAATTAGAATGGGAAACTTTTATGTAACTTATATAAACACTGATTATACCAAATAAACAAAATAAGTTTACAAAGGAAAAAACAATTCTTACATCATCATAATGATGATTCTTTATGGACTGGATACAACTTTTGCTTCTCTTGATCATACAGCTTACGTGCCCTTGCAAGCTCAAGTGCTTCCGCAGCACGATCTTGGGCTGCAAAAGCCGTATACAGTTTAAAGTCGTTTTATCATACAACTTATATAATGAAAAAATCTTTAGTTATTTTTCGCTCGTCTGGCCCAAAAGAAAACCTATTTGATTTAATCCGGATTTCGATATGGGTCTTTTGGTATATTTTCCATCCACTGAATAATATTGTCAGCAATTAGCGAAGGGCAGACGATAATTTCAAATTAAGCGCGTTGTTTGTAAACAGAAAGTAGTTCCAGAAAAAAGACGCGTTTACCAAATATGGTAAATGGAGTCCGGGCATGATATGGAAAATTATTGCACGGCTTGCCCATCGGGATTCCCATAGCGTCACGAGGCCAGGCAATACAAGGTATATGATAAAGTCAAACTATAACCCTACAAATTTGTAATATATACAATATTGACTACCTTGCCATGTTCCAGTGACTCTTTGACACTGGAAGGTTGACTGTATATAGGATCATTCATCATAAGAACTGCTGAAAAGTTTTCCATTATTACCCTGCAACAAACAATAAAGGTGTGTTAAAGGTATTGGAAGGGTCGTACACAGATTTCCATATAATGACACTTATAATGACACTGGCTTCAAATAGTAAAATTGTATTTTCATTATGCTAGATTCATCAGCCGCGTATAACACGCTAATCAAAACCATTTTACTGGATAAATCATGGTTTGAAATCTGTGGTAATTATCTGTGATCATTACCAGCATGTAAAAATGAAATCCACATCTTCTAAAGTGATTTTAGGGATCCTGCAGGGTTTTGTTTTTAAGAACAAGTAACCTGACGGTCGAAAGAGCTCCCCTGTCGTACAAGAACATTGTGGTAAGTTGAGAACAAATTATGATGACGGTGGGGATAAAAATTGGAATGAAATGGAAGAAATGCTTGATTTTGATGCTATTTTAAATATTACAATATTTGCCATTTGGCCATCTTGAATCTGATCGTCAAACTAATACCTGTGCATACATGTGTCAACGCATGTCAGATATTGCTCTGGAACAGCATTCATCAAAACAAAATGGCTGCAAGTCGCCTATTTCAGATCTGATTTATGTGCATCAGGGACCCATAATGTCTAATGTATGTACCAAATTGGAACAAAATCATCCATAAACGACTGAGATCCGGAATTTGTCTGCAGAAAAATGGCTGCCATTCCACATTCTTGAATCAGATTGTGAAACAAATTGATGTACATACTTGTATGTATAATGTTATGTATGATGTATGTGTGAAGTTTGAATGTAATCAGTCCAGTCACGTCTAAGATATAGGTCTGGAAACAAGCTCAAAAAGGGGTCAATCCACAAGTCACTGAGACTAAAAATGTTAATGGTACACAATGTTAACATGGCAGGTAATGGACTAAAACCTCTTTTATCCTTAGTAAGTTATTCGGTCTACAGCCATGAATTCTTAACCTGACAGTCAACAGACTAACTGCATTTACTTATTTACTATTCACACTACAGCTACAAATGTGTTGAAAATGATGACAACCCAAAAACCAAAAGATAATCTATTGATCTGATGGGATGATGCTTACCTCTTAATTGCAGTCTTCTTCCACACTTGTAAACATTCAAAACCTATTATAATCTGTTTAAAATGGTAAAGCTGATTGAGCTGTTGTAAAGTGGATTTGATTTGAAGCAACCATGAAACAAGGCATTTCTTCTGCTCATTTGAGATCACAGGAAAGCTGCTCAGAGGCTGAAAATAAAAAAAAACTCCATATGATACCAGTGAGCTTAGTTGCAACACCATAGTGGCAGGCAACACCACCAAAAATTGTCATTCCAGCTCTGCAGCCAATCAGCGACGCCCTTACAGTTAAAATGACAATTTCAGTTTCATATACCCCGGGAAAGTGTTCTACCATACTTATCCAGGTAAGAGCCCATGCCTGGGCAAACGCCCACCCCCCACTTTTGAAACAATAAAGAAGTTGAGGTCATATCCGGGCACACGCCCAGGGGGTCTTTTTTTACACACACAAAAAAAAACCTATTTTCTATTCGTTGACTGTGGTTGTATAAACAGTTGACTTTCTTGAAGTCTGTCATGATACTTATAAAAATTGTTAATTGCGTAAAACAAGGGGTGAACGCAAAATAGCTGTGACAGCTTTCTGCCTTCAGGGCAGCGCGTTCACTGCTGATTTTTTTCAGAATCATAACAGTCAGCAAGTCTACAAAAATATATATTAAAGCAGAAACGGTAGTTTTCTTTTTGAAATATGTCGTGTCGTGCCGTTTGGTTTGTGTTTCCTTAGAAACGATTCAAGCACATCGTATAAGGAGATCGAGCCGCTAAGCAAGTGTCGCACTCGTTCGGCTCTAGCGTCGTCGACAATGAAACCATTGTTGCAATATTGTAGCAACCCGTACCCGGGAGAGTGGTTGAAATCACGTTATTTTGGCTTTATGAAATATTTTGTAGCAGCTTGCGAATCCATAGCAAGGGCCAGCAATTTTGCAATGTCACGCCGAAGACTGCCAACTTTTTTACCATCTTTCATCACCGCTATTGCATTTCGGTCATGAAAACTATTCTTCTGTTGTTGGTTAAAAAAACTGCGATATTAATATAGTGAGACATTCCAACCGCCGGAACTTGCTGAATGATAACTTTCACCGTGAATAATAAGCGTTGAGTCTGATAGGAAAGCAATGTCACGATTTGACCTTCATGATGAAATACTAGTAGTGATGTCATTCTTAGCCAATCAGTAAAGCAGATGCACAAAGGTCAAAGATGATTGCTAGATTGTAAACAAAAGCACCGTGTCCGTGTCTCATCGCAGCAGAGCGACCCCATTTTTCTCGTCTCTTTTTATGATTAGACATGAATGAAAAATGCCAAGCTGACAGACTGCGAAATCCGTGGATTAAAAGTCCAAATTGTGTGGGACGATATCGATGAACTTCAGGAATAAGTTGTAGGGATTTTGTTCAACGGCTACAGTGACGCCGACTTGGACTTTGAGGGTTTTGAGTTTGACGAAGATCTGAGAAGTTTTTTCAAACAGCTATGAATTTTTATAATTTTTACTGTGTAAATTTGTAAATTATTATTGATCTTGTATGACGGTTGATTCGTAATTTGTCGAGACCTGAAATCATTTTACGCAGTTTAACCCATGACATTTTAATTCATTTTGAGTTCACGCGTATTGGGCGTGTTTGTCGGCGGGAAAATCCTAATTCAAATGATTCCTCACTGTTGATTTTTATTATTTCTGGTTTATTTGTCACATTATAAGCAATACATTATTTTTGTTTTACTTCCAGTGTGCATATTGTTCATTTATTTCCGTTGCATGTTTTCATTTGCAGTTCTATTTCCTGCCGCAGTTCGATCTGCGTGTTGTCAATTTTCGTGAATTTTCGGGGTTTTTTTGCCGAGGATCTCCTGGTAAACGCCCACCCCTTACTTTTGGCAATTTTCCATGTTCAGGACCCTGGGCTTATACCCGGATAAATATGGTATGTTCTTCGTGTAAATAGGTGTTCGTATTTAATAGATTATTCCACACAAAAATGACAAATTCGGCCGATTTTTGTTATCGGTTGGCTTAGTATTACCTCAAGAATCGTATTTCTATGAAAGATTGGCATTTTTGTCCTGATTTGTAGAAATCTGAAAAACACGTTTTACAACTTGTCTCTTGGCGGCCCCCATATAGTAAATATCGCATTTATTTTATTATCATTTGTGCGCCAGCTGACTATGGATGATGCCAACGTGTTCAAATTACCGGAAAAGATTTGCCGATGTTGTAGTACAATATTTTGGCTTCGATTTTGATGAAAAACTTGCATGATTTTTGTTTTCAAATAAAAAAAATACTTGTTTTCAAAAGATAAACTGAGCATTAGAAGAATAATTTAACATTTTTTACAGTGATAACAGGTCAATGTCGAAATGAAGCTAACCTATTCACGCTAGTCACAATACTCTTGAATAAAAACTTAATAGACTATTTTTAGGCGTCAGGAAAAACACTATAAAACTGCCGAAAAATCGCACTGGGCGAGAGCAGAGAAACCAGGCACATATTTTGATGTGTTTTCTAAAAAAAAAACAAAGATGCCACAAGGCCATGTGTTTAAAATGCGAGTGAGCAGTCGGGAGTTATTTCTGGGTTCGCGCGGTTGAAAAATAAAGAGGAAATTATTCAACAAGCGGTTGCAAAAGCAAGTGAAAAAAAAATGATCGTAAAGCAGAAGCGAGCAGGAGGTTGGGTGAAATTAGTGCTGTATATTCAGGTTCTTTGTAAAAATAATACGATCGGCCAAGATCTATCATTCTGAAGCACGAAAGGAGACAGACAAAATGCAGTTTTGAATATTGACACCGTTCGTATTTTTTAAATGAGCCAAAACAAAACAAAAATAGTATGCAGCTTAAGCGACGATCGATCGAAACAGACTCGTTTTGCAAGTTTTAACGGCTACGATCTGTTGAAGATTTGGTATAAGTAAGTTATTCTAGAATGATTTTCATTTGGTTTCACGTGATAGTTAATCTGATTTATAATATAGCATTACAAACAGGAAGTCCTCGGCAAGGGTCAGAGTACAAGTATACCCCAGACCACTCGTTTTGATGAATGATCTGGGTGTGACTTATAATTATGAGAATGGATTTTTACTATTGAAATGAAATTATCACGTCTAGGGGTGAATTGTTAATAGGTGAAGTGATGTTAAACAAGCCATGCATGGCACAGTCCCAGTTAGTTATCAAATTTAAGATATATAGTTTTGTTTATAGTAATATAGCTAGAATATAACCATGTCAGGAATATGATTTTTTAACATTAAAATGATTGACATTTGTATCTGATCATCAAACAAGTACTTGTCCATATTGAGAGATATTGCTCTGGAACAGCATTCAAAATCAGCCATTTTTAATACATGTATATATATAACATGATGTATAACGAATATATAAAATTTGAATATATAATCAGTCAAAGCATTTATTATAAGAGATATGGCTCTAGAAGCCCAATCATTAAAAGAAAATGGCCGCCAGACAGCCATTTTGAATCCGATAAAAAATAAATGATGTGCATCAGGAACCTGTAATGTCTAATATATGTACCAAGTTTGAACGAAATCCATCCATAAATGCCAGAAGTGCTTGATATTTGATGATTTTTAGCACAATAATGACCACCATTCGGCCATTTTGAATAGAATCGTCAAACTAATATATCTGTTTATCTATGACATGATGTATAATGAATATTTAAAATTTGAACATAATCAGTGAAAGCAAGTCAGAGATATGGCACGAGAAGCACATTCATTAAAACAAAATGGCTGCCAGTCGGCCATTTTGTATCTTATCTGAAAAACAAAATTATTTGCATCAAGGTCCCATAATGTCTCATGTTTCTACCAAGTTTGAACAAAATCCATCAGTAAACAGCCGAGAAATGCTTGATTTTTAGGATCATCATCCAGTAACTTGTGCTAGTTTACCATTATTTTCACAGAAATACTACGGTACCTACAATTTTTAACATGTTTTTTTCTGTTGCTACCTTTAGGAGATTGAACGAAAGACATTACTTCTCTTACCGTTGAAATCTTCTGACATGCTGTTTTCAAGATTAACAC